TCCTATGGTGTATTCAAATGATCCCTCAAATCTATCACAATTATAGACATAAAGATACAGAAGGATTGAGTGAAGTTATGGTGTTTTTATGGTGTGCATGTGCACCATTCTTTGCTGTTTACTTCGTTGGTGTTGATTCCAGTCTTCCTATTGAGATTCAACCTCATTTGTTTGGATTCTTTTGCTGGATCGTTTACCTTCAGGTCATGTATTATCCACCTGTTCAAAGACCAAAAAAGCAGATTATCATAAGAGGTGTTGGATTTATTGTTTTTCAAGTTGCTGTCGAATGTGCTTTTATTATTCCTTTGAGAAAAATATATCTTGAAAATGGTACTAAATGGCCATTGTTAATCTTTGGTATCCTTGCTTCTATTTTATTGGCTCTAGGTTTGATTCCTCCTTATTTTGAATTGGCAAAAAGACAAGGTAGAGTTGTTGGGATCAATTTTGTGTTTTTATGTACTGATCTAGGTGGTGCATTATTCTCGCTAGCCTCATTGGCATGTGACTCTGCTGATTTGGATGTTATGGGTTGTATCTTATATTCAATTTGCGCCTCATTAGAAGTTGGTATTTTATGCTCACATATCATCTGGTGTATGAGATTCAAATGGTTCAGCAGCAACTCTGACGAAACCAAAGATTTGGAAACTCAATTCTCAAACAATTCTTCTTGTTTGGATGCAGAAGTCACAATTGTTGGAGGTGTTGAACAGAAAAAAGAAATCATTGATGAAGAAGCTTTTGACACCCCTGCTTCCCCAACCATTTCAACAGATTCTGAAGTTTGTGAAGAAAATAAACTTGATACTAGTGTTACTTTGGTTTAAACAAACCCGTCCACCCAACTTGCATTTAACGACTTTGTATAGTATATATAGATGATGCCTTCATAAACGCATCTCACCTTAATAGAGTTAATACCTTTCATGATAAATGATAAATACAATACATAAATTTACTCATCAACTAAGCTTTTCTGGTCTATTGAAATTCTCGTTGGGTTCACAAAAATTAAAAGTATCTTAGCATAGAACAAAATTTCTCACTTAATACCAATAGTACGAAAATTGTATTCTTTTCCGCAATGGTGCTTTTTAAGCAGATAGCTAACGGGGGCGTACCATTTTCTTTTCGGTAATAAATTTTAAGACTTTAGACAAAACCCTACTATGATATGGATACATATATCTAACTATGTGTGCATTCAAACAGGTATCACTCTCTCCCGCAAGGTGAAGTGATACACAACAAAAATAAAGTCGTCCCTCCATCAATTTTATGCCACGCACGCCCTCCCCAAATCCCACACAGCAGCAGTTCCTGTTATCGTATCTCACTCACAAAAAAGAAATTACACATGATATCAATGTACGGGCCAACTATGAGTAACCATACCATACTTGTTTCTCAAACAACACAATCTGTTATTGCCAATTTACGCTACTTTCGCTACAAGCTATCAACACCAGAAAAGCTCTTGAACCTTCAACAGCTTTGCTTTGAACAAATTACCAATAGAGATAGTAACTTGAAATCTGAAGAAAGAAACAATGTCCAGTGCCTCTGAATTCCTGGATAAAGGTGTTGAACTTGTCAAGAAGGCAATTGAAGCCGATAGTGCCAGTAAATACGATGAAGCATATCAATTATACTATAATGGATTAGATTATTTGATGTTGGCACTAAAATATGAGAAAAATCCAAAATCTAAGGAAACAATTAGATCAAAATTCACTGAATATTTATCTAGAGCAGAACAATTGAAATCTCATCTTGATAAGAAAACTCAACAGGATCAAAATGGTGAAGCAAGTGCTACTTCTGGCTCTACGAAGTCTAAAAAAACAGATGGTGCAGGTACAGGTGAAGGAGATGATGATAACGATAACAAAAAATTGAGAGGTGCATTAGCCAATTCTATTTTGAGTGAAAAGCCTAATGTTCAATGGAGTGATATTGCTGGTTTAGAATTGGCCAAGGATGCTTTAAAAGAAGCAGTTATTTTACCTGTTAAATTTCCTCATTTGTTCAAAGGCAAACGTAAGCCAGTTAGTGGTATATTATTATACGGGCCACCCGGTACCGGTAAATCCTTTTTAGCTAAAGCAGTTGCAACAGAAGCAAACTCCACATTTTTTTCAGTTTCAAGTTCGGATTTAGTTAGTAAATGGATGGGTGAATCTGAAAGATTGGTTAAACAATTATTTGCAATGGCAAGAGAACAAAAACCTTCAATTATATTCATCGATGAAGTTGATGCATTATGTGGTCCTAGAGGAGAAGGTGAATCTGAAGCATCACGTAGAATCAAGACAGAATTGTTAGTTCAAATGAATGGTGTTGGAAATGATTCGGATGGTGTGTTGGTTTTAGGTGCTACTAATATTCCATGGCAATTGGATTCAGCTATTAGAAGACGTTTTGAAAGACGTATATATATCGCTTTACCTGATCAAGAAGCTCGTGTTGAAATGTTCAAACTAAACATTGGAGATACTCCATGTGCACTATCAAGTTCGGATTATCAAACGTTAGCTGATCTGACTGAAGGTTATTCAGGTCATGATGTATCAGTTGTTGTTAAAGATGCATTGATGCAACCAATTAGAAAAATTCAAGCAGCTACACATTTCAAAAAAGTTCAAGGTATCAGTGACATTACTGGGGAAGTGATAGAACAATATACACCTTGTTCACCAGGTGATGAGGACGCACAAGAGATGAATTGGTTAGATTTAGATGGAGAAGAATTGAAAGAACCTGAGTTAGGAATCAAGGATTTCATCAAGGCTATCAAAACCAATAAGCCAACTGTTAATCAAAAAGATTTAGATCAATTTGTTGAGTTTACTAATGATTTCGGATCAGAAGGTAATTAAGCAATGTATTTGAAGAAATATTTAGAGTCAGACAATCTGTATAATTTTTTTATTTTCGTTGTGTAAACATCATCATATGATTGTCGCATTTTGTATCATATCTCATATGTATATGTAACTTAGATTTGGGGTTTAAAAAGACAACGTCCGATTGCCAAATCCAAAGGGTTTAGAAGAAGTTAATTACACAAGTACGATAACAATCAAAACGAATAGAGAACAAAATAAATAAATAACAGATTGAAACATAAAAAAATGAAGTACTCAATTATATTGTGAAATATTGTTGTTTGAGTCAACAACTTTTGAACCATCAATTTTTATTAGAACCATGGCAACATTATCACCTTCAATGAAACATTTAGCATTTGGATTGTTCTTTAGATGTAGATCCTTATAATACTGACTTTCTTCACTATCTTCAAGAAACTTGGCAACATGTCCAGTCAAAGTACAACTCAAATCACTTAACTCATTTTGGTTCAGTCCCATCAATAATTTCAATAAGTGACCACTTTGTTCACTAGAATCAACTTTACCGGAGGTGGTCCAATCATGCACAAGTATAGAGCATACAGGGTTTTGTGTCAAATTTCTGTATTTATTTGTATCCTTTGGTGTGGCTAGTAAAATGAAGTAATCATTTGATGATTTTTGATATGTTTCAGTTGGTGTAATGAATGTATAGTTCATGAGACTAACGTGTGGGGTGTTATTCAAACAAGTTCCCAAATGAACAAAATTGGTATTGGTTAACAAACTAACCACTGAATCTGGTAATGGACCTTGTAAGCTTGATGATGTCATTGTGCAATGGAGTTTGATAAGTTTATTCAGTGATTGTAAATCAAGAAACAAACTTTTGTTTAGTGGTGGCAAACTTTAAAACTTGCTAAGCTTGAAGACTTTGGGGTTGTCTTCTCTTTAAATTTTGCAAACTGCCTGGCGCGCCTGCTAGTGTGTTCAGATTACCCGTTACGGGTTGGGCTTCCTTGCTTTGAACACCTTTTAGTCACATTGCACTGAAAAGCAATTGCCCATCTCATCATGCATTCACTACTCTACCTATGAGTGCTGCTCTTTCAGCCAGACGACTGTCTTGGAAGTTGTTACTACAGCGTCAACAGTAGTTTTTGGGGAAAAAAGTTATCCGAGCACGCAAGCAAAATCCCCACTTTTTTCATAGGCTCTTCTCACAACATGCTTCTGGGGTTTTGTGAAGAGTAGCCCTGTAAGTAAAGCATTATAGATAGTGAGAAGTGATTGAAAAATATCTCTATATTCATTATGCATTATAATTACAAGTGTATACACAAAGAGAACAAAACTAGTAACAGTGGAAAAAAGTCACTCCATCTGAAGATTCGGCAAATGCAACCACTTCTAATGCAAGACTTCACTGTCTTTAGAACTACATATCGAGAAGGCACAGAGTCAACTAGTACCCCTTTCGTATCTACACAGGCCAAAGCCTCGACGAACAGGAAAATAGTGGGGGGGTGAAGTCCCAGAACTCTGGTCTTGATTTGTGTTTGTGGAGTTTGTAATATGGAATGGAGCATCTAAGTCATTTGTGTTATACAATTGTATTAAACTGTACCTGAGTACGTCGTCTGCATAAGCCAGCACTGTTTATATGATGTATGATGATGGTATAATAAAGTAAAGTATACTTGAAGATGGTTGAACTCTAGAGGTATTCTTCTGAAGTTTTTATTTTTAATGAGTAATGACTATGACGTAAATCCGGACCTCAAAGATATAACGGATCGGGAGCTAACGTACTTTAGGTTCTTTAGGTGGTTTAGTTAGATAGAATAATAGACAATAGTGACAGTGACAATTCAAAAATAGAAAATATGGAGAACTTCAATCAAAACAACCAAACCCCTCAGCTTTAATGTATGTATCTGTCTCAGCAATCTCTGCCTCAACTAAATCTATGTCTGCCTCAGCAATTTCTGCCTCAACTAATTGTATTTCTGCCTCAGCAATTCCTGCCTCAACTAATTGTATTTCTGATTTTTATTAATCACTCAATCTAACTAAACCACCTAAACCACCTAAAGAACGTAAAGTACGTTAGCTCTCGATCCGCTATAAAAAAGACGAGTTGGGGCTATGGCTCAATGGTAGAGCTTTCGACTCCAGTAAGGATAGTCAATATCGTGCAATCGAAGGGTTGCAGGTTCGATTCCTGTTGGCCTCATACTTAATTTTTTTTGCAACTTATTGGACTATATTTTAAGCTACATTATTGGCCCTTGAAAGAAGAGTTTGAAGGAACTGAAGAGGGTTTCAAATCTTGAGATTTGAGCTCACCAGGGTTTCTTTACATCCTTGAAGAAAGTTTACACAGCCTTAAACGCGCTCGCACCGCCTCAGCGCCGCTGTCTGTCAACCAATCAGCAATAATTCAAAGTTTCAGAATCTGTGTAAAGGTGTTGATTGGTTGCCACGTGGAAACAGGAAACTATTACCGCAAAATTTGTTTCAAGCTTATCTTTATTATTTTGTTATATTATATTCAATTTCCTCATTTTTGTTTTTTCTATTGTATAGAAACTTTATATATATATATATATTACTTTTCAACTTATCCTTCCCGAATAAGCATTCGCTTGACTCATATTGAACTATTCTGAACTTTTTTTTTCTGTATCTACTCTGCAACGGAGTGTCAGACAATCTTGGTTACACAAAATAAGTCTATCATTTACAGTTTGCCCTCATTCACGTTATTATTCCGTTTGTGTTTGAACTGGTTTATATCATAGCTTGTTGTTTTTCTGTTTTTTTTGGTTTTCCAACTCAAACTTTGGTTCATATAGAAGTTGTGAATGTACTCACCTCAACCACAACCACAACCACAACCGCAATTTGTTAGTCGCAGATTACGCCACCCTCATATGAAAGCTCAATTTAATCCCTCAAATAACATTATAGCTGGACTACTGTTACCTCCCAACACCACAATCACGCTAACGGATGAACCGAAAATGACACAGCCCTCTACACAACTCACCGTTTCTACTGATGTTCCTCGTACCTTGACTACCTCATTTGTCTATTCTACACCAACTTGTATGTCTAACAAAATGTATATTCTAAATGAATCTGACGAAGAGGGTTTAGAGCCAGAAGAATTGGAAAGAATATATAGCCTTCTAGCTCCAGAGTCTGAAGATGAGCATGAAATCGTTCCAAAATTGGAATCTACTGTGAAGAACACTGTGACGCTTGAAGTCAAGGATGCTATTGACGAAGAAATGAAAAGTGATGATCATTTTGAGAATACTGATCAGTCACAAAAAGCTTTTATCAACTTGAAAGTAAACGAAATCAATGAAAAATCATTGCAATCACCAAACTCATCGTTCCAAGATCAAAATGAGCTTAATCAACATTTCCCTCATGAGATTAGACAGCTAACTGCAGCTGTTGGTGCAGATGATGCTATCGGTAAGATGCTAATAGAGGAGAAAAAGAAACTTGCTGAAAAGCAAATCGCGAATAGTTGGTCTGTTCAAATGAAAGCACGTGTTTTGAAAGCAAATGAAATGAAGATAGAAAACTTGAATGATCCCTCGTATCCTGTTGACATTCATAAAGGTACTGATGACGAGTCTTCAGCAGCACCAACTGTAACCTCAATAAGCGACAAAGTTGTGCCAAAGTCGACTTCTAGCAAAGCTCCGAAAGGTATCCTTAAGGTTACTAGAAATGGCACTGATTTGAAAAGACCACTCGAAACGTTCTCAGCTAATACAACACGTTCAAAGAGGCGGAAAGTGCATTTTGCAGATAAACTTGCCACAGTTTTTACGCCCGAGTTGATTTTGGATGCACCTGAGTCAGATGACAATTTGATATCTCCATTAGAAACTATACAGGAACCTATACAGCAAACCAAACCAGCAGATTCCATCACAACTAATAAAGTTTCTGCAAAACCTCCAAAACCTCATAAACGTTCACCTCCAGTTGCCGATAGTACTACTCTTGCTAGAAGGCTTACCCGTTCTCGATATGGAACTGATGATGCGCCTATTGTGCTGGACTCAGACGACGATGAGTTCAATATGTCATCTACCCTCCCTGTCAGAAAGAGATCTGCTAATGATGCTAAAGTTTCCTCTGTGAGAACTCCAGCCTCGAAAAATACAACCGAGGTGAAATTAATGCGCCGGGCGCCGAGAAAACGTAAGCCTCAAATACCTCCCAATTCTGAACCTACTGCTACAACTACCTTGCAACCTGATCCACCTACTAAATTATTATTAGTGATTCCAAAACAGAGCGATCCAACAACACAACCTTCTTCAACATTGATCGCTGCTTCTTCACCAGTTCCTCCACCACCACCAATTACCCCGGGCTCTACTGTTGACAACTCTTTACCTCCACAACCTGCCATCATTGAAAAATTTTCAGCTCCACAACCTGCCATTATCGATAAATTTTCAGCTCCACAACCTGCCACTGTTGATGATATTTCAGCTAAACAACCTACTTGTATTAACAACGTTTCAGCTCCAAAACCTGCCACTATTGACAACCTTTCAGCTCCTCAACCAGTCATTGTTGATAATACTTTGGTTCCACAACCTGTTCCTGTTGGTAAGAGTATCGCTGCTGATAGTGCTTCAAAACGAGTTTCACACCCACAACGTGCCATCATTGATAATCTTTCAGCTCCAAAACCTTCCACTGTTGGTGATACGTTGGTTCCACGACCTGTTGCCGGTGGTACTGTCCTACAGAGTGTCGCTGCTAGTATTGCATCAAAACCCCTTCCCCTTTCTTCACTTACTATGAAAAAAATCGAATATAAACCTCAAGCTCTGAGTGGCTTTGCCGTTAGTCAACTTGACAAAGTTAGGAAAACCCATGAAACGAATTTTGTTAGAGAAGGCTCGCCGCCTCTTACAGATGGTACAGCTACTGAGGATGTAGTCTCTGCTTTTAGTTCGAGAAGACGTCCGGCTACAAACGTGGTTACAAGTAATAATCAAGCTGCTAAAAGAAGGGTTGGACCCTCTGCTGTTAGACCTACCCAACCACAAAAACAACAACAACAACAACAACAACAACAGGAACCACAAAAACAACAGCAACAACAATTTGGTCAAATTTCTGATAGACGAGCTGGCACAAGGACTTTCAAACAACAACAACAACAACAACCACAACCACAAGCACAACAACAACATCATCACCAACAACTTCAGACCTCAAAGGTTAATGAGAAGCCTCAAAGATTAACCCATCTGCCCAACATCACCACCAAAACTTCTTCAGGAAAACTGGTTATACCTGGTACCAAACCGAGATTTATTTATTCGTCAGCATGTACCAAATGCATAAGGATTGGAAGAGAGGCTTTTTGCAACAAACAATTGCCATGTGACATATGTGTCGCCAAGAAATTCAAGAATTGTCACTATCCTGGTGGTTCATACATTACCAACAAAGAAGAGGTTAAAGAGTATGAGGAGGCGATGAGAGAAAGACGTAGGATACAAAAAAGTAATTACTACAGGGCGGGAGAGGTTTCGGAAAGAGAAGAGCCCCGTATGCCTCAGTCTCAACCGAGCCCTGTCTTGAGTTTAAGATCTGCTGATAATAATCAAAATACTGCTTTAGTTTCAGAAAAGTTATCATTTCTTAATGCTTCTGCATCTACTGAAAAATTGCCATCTGATAGTGTTGCTCCGAACCGTGCAAATCAGCCTGCTGATAATTCTGTCTTCACAACGGGGGTGCCACAGTCAACCAACAGTGATGCCGCTGCTAGAAACTTTGTCAAGTCTCCAGTTACTAAATCTGTCTTTCCCACGATGGTGCCGCCATCAACGAACAATGATAGAATTGCTGATAGTGTTTCAATTGATAATTCTGTAGGTTCTGCTTCACGTCCGCCAGCTGACAACACAACTGATGCTCCAAACGGTGGCATATCTTCGGTTATTAATCACAATATGAATGGCGGTTTATCACCTTCCGTCAAAAGTGCTGCTTCTACTGTTGTTAACGCAGCAACGGGATCTTTTGTCAAGAGATCAAATAACGAACCTAAACAACCGGTAATGAATAATGTTAAAAATGATACAAACAACATACGTGTCAAGATGGAAGAAAGTGATGATCTCACATTAGAACCCGAACATGAGTTTGACATTGCATCCGAACCCAAATCCAATTCTCTGTCTACAAATTCACCTAAAGCTGATAGACCTGGGTTTGGTTCAGGCTCTGGTTCTGGGACTGAAGCCACATTGGCATCTGCATCCGAATCTGAGGCCGAGGCCGAGGTCGAATCTGGATCTGAATCTGAGTATAACTCTGATTCTGAGTATTCAGATCACCAAAGTACATCGAGAGTTGCCCGTAGAGGTGGTTCCAAACAAAGAAAAAGTAGGCAGGGATCGTCAAATAACAGGTCTCTCACCACTGTAAGAATCTGCACCAGTTGTGCAGCCACACACAAAAAATGTGACAAAAAACCTACAGGTTGTTCAAGGTGCGTCGAAAAGAATATCAATTGTGTTTATCCTACTGAACCTATAAGACGTCGTCGTCGTCGTGATAGAGCAACTAATAGAAGAATTACAGTCAATAGAAATAAATCACGCAACGAAAGTGAAATAGAATACGAAGAGAAAAAAATCAATAGTACAAGAAGAATGTTGAAAGAATTAGATTATGAAAAGAGAGATTTACATGAGATTTTAGGAGGTGAGAGAGGTCGTAGACAAGCGACGAGACAAAATTATAAACTAATTGATCAAGACGATGATGATGATCCTGATAACGCTTATGGAGATCCGAATGCTGAAGGAGAATTTTTAATTTTGAGTGACGATGAGATTGAAAGACGGAAAATGCTGGGTACATTACCTGCTGATTTCTACGAGAATGCGTTGGTATGAATTAGATTAGCTGTGGAGCTTATTTATTTATACAACTACATATATTAAATTTTTTTTTTTTTTTTTTTTGTCAGTTTCTAAAGAACGCCCTTTATAATTATTTAATTTGAGCCACTTTTCTTTCTTAACTTTTGCTATTATGAGAATTAACGGCAATTCTTTTTTAATAAATGATGAATTTTTTTATCCCTTTTTAGTCTATTTAAAGTGGGGAATTTTATAATAGAATGTCGTGTATTGACAGATACACGTTTACGTAATCGAGATACGGACACCG